AGAGGGACTGTGCATCCATGCCCGCGCCCCGGAGTGCATTTCCCCTGATATGAAAACGTTTGAGCCACAGTGGGATTCCTTCCTCACACAATAACTGCTATCAATTCAGTCAACAGGACCTCACTTTTGGGGTCCAGAGAAAAGACATATATAATCAAGGCTGCTCTTTTCCTATTAAATCAGAAGTTCTCAAACTCTAGTGCCCACCAGAATCACCATTCAGCAGTACTGGGAAAGGCCTGCGAATTTTTGTCAAAGTCCCCAGATAATTATGCACACCGAAGTTTGAGACCACTGCACTAAATGACTCCTAACTTCTCACTTTATGTGTGGACTGGTGTGCACATACACTCAGGGCAAACATTAAAAAGCTACCGGACTGTTTTAATTTACTTGGATTTAAAAGAACTGTCGTTTAAGAACTCTAGTATTTGCATACACTGGGGTAGGGGACAGTTATAATGGGGAAAGAAGGCAAGGACTGCTTTCATCAACCACAGCTGCAACTTTTATTAACAATATGTACCTAACTGAACTCTTCACCTTCTCCCCTCAGTCCCTGGGTGCTGCAACTGGTTAACAGTGCTCAGCTGCTAGCCAAGAGGCTGGAGGTTCGAGTCTACCCTGGAGGCACCTTGGAAGGCCTGGCAATCTACTTCCCCCAAATCAGCCATTAAAAACCCTGTTGAGCACAGTACTACTCTGACATACATGGGGTCACCATGAGTCAGAATGAATCGCCAGCGACTGGTTTTTTAACTTTCTCCCCAAACTTGGTCCTTTCCCAGGGCTCCTTATCTTGGTGAATGGCACCACCACCCATTGAGTTATGCAAGCCAGAAACCAGAAGTCAGCCTGGACACTGCCCTCTCCCTCAACCCCTGCACATCCAGTCCATCCCCAAGTCCTATCAATTTTACTTCCTAAATACATCTACCTCTCTCCATTTCCACCACCATGTTGGTCCAAGCTACCACCATCTCTTATCTGCAATACAACAGTCTACCATACCCCCTCCTACCCCTCTTCCTGCTACTGATTCTCATATTACAGCTGTAGTGAACTTTCAAAAGGCAAATCCGATTGTGTCACTTCCTTCCTGTCAAAACCCTTCAATGTTTCCCACTGGGTTTAGCTCAAAAACGTCTTCACAGGGCCTGCCTGGCTCTGCATAGCCTAAACTCTGTCTTCCTCCCCAACCACACTGGTCTCCATCTGATACTCCAAGCTCATCCTCCTCCCTCCCACCACAGGGCCTTTGCACATGCCATTCCCGTTGGCCCGGTGTGTTCTCTGCTCCCCTTTCACCTAGTGTCCACCTCTTCACCCTCTACGTTGCTCAGCACGGTGGTCACTTGCTCAGGGACGCCTTCACTGACCTCTCTGATAAGGTCTCCTGCCCCGCCCCCAACCACACACACACCCTTGTACACACTCACAGCATCACAGTGTACTCCTCATGAGGCAACCTTCCAGAGTTGCAGTTTTACATTAATTCTGTGACTACTGCCTGTCTCCTCCCAGGCTGTAAATCCAGGATGGCAGGGGAGGATTTCTGCGTCTGTGCCCTCAGCACCCAGCACAGGGACCAGCAGGGCCGGGCTCAATAAACGTCTGCTGAGCTCACAGATGAATGGACAGACTCATCCTGCCTTATGGTATGACAATAGCAAGTGACCACACTCCCAGCCAGCATTTCTCACCACCACAGGGCCAAACCTTAGCTCCCCAATTCACCCACCACCCATGGTGGAGGAGGAGGGGCGTGCAGAAAACAGACCCTGTGCATCTGCCTCAACTGGTGGGGGGCCATGGAAAATGGACCAGTATATTCAGTAAGTTCTGTCCTGCTAAAACATTAACTTGCAGTGGATTACATTTTTCAGCAGGGAACCGGAGGCAAGGTAATCTGAGAGATGATTATCTCAGTTTACACAGAATTTTGAACACACTCTCGCAGTTGTCTTCATGAAGGGTAAATCCACTTTCACATTAGAAACGGCTATGGAAACACTTTAGAAAGGACCGCTAAGGCTTCTGTTTGTACCACTTGAATGTGGCTCAGCTGCTCACTACGCTGGTCACAGGCCTTGAAGGCAACACCCTTTCCACTGCTGAGCTCGAGCAGTGGTTTTCCTTTCTAAGGGCCCATGTCATCTTTCGTAACAATCAAGAAAGCAAGTGTGGGGGAAAGGACGGAAGAAGAGGTGCTCAGCACTCACCCTAATCCTTAGGACAGGGCCTGCTTCCTGAACCAGCTCCCTGTGCACGAACCTCACAATGTCCCAGGTCGGGGCACCACGAGGCCCAACAGCTTGCTAAATCCTGGTGACAAGCATGAGCAGTGGCACTGTGCCCTGAGACCCCCAAATCACTCTTCTTGGAAGTCTACCAGCTGCCCATGAGCGAGCCCCAAGCAGCTGTGGGAAAAGCAAAACTGGACAAAGTACACAGGTGTCCCCGCTTGGAGGGCCTGGCTGATCAGCCCACCCACAGCCCTAAAGCAAGATGCAGGTGCAATGCTAGTTCTCAACAGTCCTCCCCATCAGGCGGTTTACTGTTTCAGGCACTCAGCCAAGTTTTCGAGTTCCTATTTCAACATTTGTGTGTGTCCTGGGTCCGGGACCAGACCGGAAAGCTTCCCTGAGGCCAAGAATCCGGCTCACCCACCTGCAGGCTACCTGCCCAGAGGTGTTTGCCAAGTGAATGAACGATTACTTTTTTTTTTAACAAGTGGTGACTTGAGAAGCAGTATGAAGAGGAAACGCGCAAATTAGCATTTCATTTATACTGCTTTCTGAGTAAAATCGTCAACTGACTCAGTTTAGACAAATCAATCAAAAATACTCTGCCTGATGAATTCAGAGGTTAACGGTTGTAATGAATGCAGAACCCCAATTATTCAGATGTCTCCATCTTTATTGGTAACTGTGTTGTTAAACAATGTCAAGTCATACTGAAGATACCTAACAAAATTCTTAGCTTGGGCTTGAATAATTAGAATCCAGAACAGTTTGTTTAAAGGACACATCTACAGAACTTGGTGGAAGCTTCGGATTTCACATTTACCGGGGCAGAAAAACAAAGTAGACTCTCAATAACAGCGCCTTAGAAGCACCATACACAAATGTTTGAAGGCCACTAAGCTCTTCTCAGTGATCTGTGGCGTGGCCCTAATACAAGTCACACAAAGAAAGGCTGAAGTATGTTTCTCTCACCAGACAAAATCTCCAAGACCTTCCCCTGCCAAAAAGGGGGCAGGCAGAATTTCCCACAGCAAACAGGTGGGGCTGGCCTAAAAGCAGACTTCTCAAAAACCTTTGAAATTCCTAATTTTCAACATTATACAAAACAGAGTGTCTCAAAAAGCTATCCTGACTATTGGGATTCTAGCATGCCAGGTGATGGCCTCGTCCTTCCTTAGCAGCGCGAGAACTATCTTCAATTTGGCAGAACTTTTGCTAAAGTTTCTGATTCATCATAAAAAAGTTTTTTAAACAAATTGAAATTAAAATATACCTGACAAAAAATAAAAATCAATTACCATTCATCATAAGAAATGGGAAAGAAAAGTAGTGATAGGAACAGGTTTGCAGACGTTTTTTCTGAGTGATATCTTAAGAGCTAAGCTCTGCCATCTTTTAGCGAAATAAAGCAAGCCACAATCGAAACAGTAATCTCTCGGTAAGTCCTCCGCATCACGTGCTTGCTGAGCTGGCACTGAGGAAGGGGGTTTTATTTAGCTTAGTTTTACACCACAGGCACTGCAAAGCCTGGGTAGTGCATGCCTCCTGCAAATTTGAAATGAAAAGAATTTTGTGTAGGAAAAAAAAAATTCTACATCACGAATGAATCACCCTGATGATGTAACCTAGGCGAAAACAATATTGCTTTCTGTATCCATTAACATCAATAAAGTAATTTAATGTAACAGTAAAAGATGACTTTTCATAAACAACTCCTTTTGGGGAATCTAAAAAGTAACGGAAAGAGTATGGGAGCACGACGATTACAGAATCAACTTATTTGAAAAATTAGAAATAAACTCTATATGTGTCTTTTATTTCAAGTTGTAATGACCCCAGCTTATTTTCTCCATTGTGATTCAAACTCAAAACATTTTAAGCCCTCTTCTCAGTGTCTCCTCACCGGTTCACCTGTGTTAAAGCAGGTAGATACAACTTTCTAAGAAAAGTCAGTCCCAAAGAGCCCGATTGTTCCCACAATTTAAAAGAAAGCCTAACGCTGCAGACCTGGCCACCGATCTAACCCCGGATCTGAAGCACAAATCAGATTAAAGAGGACGGAGGAGCAAGGTTCAGCAGTACTGTAATCAGCTGATGTTGACCAGCAGTGGGAGACCAGAGAGCGCCAAGGAGCCTATCAAACCCCACTGGCTGCCTCCATCTGCAATTCAAGTCCATTACTAAGCCTCCTCTAGAGATGGAATCCTGCTACCCCCAGCCAATTCCCGTCCACAGAGCACAGCTTGGGGTAAAATGCACTGGAGCGAAGCTGCCGGCCAGAGAGGCGTGTCTCATCTCCCAGGCGCCTTTCGAACTGCAAGGGAAGTCTGGGTTACGTTCACTTTCGGACGCTGGAAGGAACTCGGGAGTTGGTGTACGTCGTCTGGGGCTCTTGCTGCGATTTAGACAGCTTTCTTTTTTAAGAAACTTCAAAGTTGCATTCGAATACACTTTTAAAACAGACTGAAGCCGTGAAAAAGTAGATATTCTAATTTTTTTAAAAGACCGTAACTCCTGGGGTGGGGGCGGGGGGAGATGGTTCACAAAGACAGAAAAGGACTGTAAAAAGAAAGACATCACAACCCACAAAAGGGTCAGCAAATAACAAAGGGAGTCGAGTCCCCATCGCCGTCCTCGTCTCCGTTTAGAAGCGAGCCCTGTCCTACAGGTAGCTGCCCCACGCGGCCAGGTAACTCGCTCCCCCTGCAGATACGCCGGCCGCACCCAGTCCAGCGCTGGCACTGGGCCACTTACTGGTTTCGGCATTTTCGGTTCCTGGGAGGTTCTCCTCAATCCCTCGGAAACACAACTCTCAGTAGTAGCAGGCGAAGGAACCCTCCCGATCTGGAGCGCTAGGAAGCCGTGAAACGGAGAACGACAGACTCCCGCGCAGCGCACCGAGACTCGGGCCGCCCCGCGCGCCGCCGCTTAAAAACCCGCCGGGCGGGCGCGGCTGAGTCACCGCCCAACCTGCAATTACAGCGGGCCGGGCGGGGCGGGGCGGAGCCTGCGGCCTGGGCGGGGTCGGGCCTCGGCGCCCGAAGGGGCGGGGAGCGCGGGAAACGGGGGCGAGCGGGGACTCGGAGGGGGGTGCCGGGGAACGCCATGGGGGTCTCAGTGTGCCGGGGAACGAGAACTAGGGACGCATGGGGACCGCGAAGGGGGCGCCGCGCCGCTCCGGGGAGGGCCATGGGAGAGGGGGAAAAAAAAAAAAAAATCTCGGCGCCCCAGGGGGCAGGTAGCGCGGGAAGTGGGGGTGCAGAGGAACCGGGAGAGGGGCGGCCGCGTTACTCTGGGGAGAGCCGTGGGATCGGCCGGAGGGGCCTCACCGCCCGGGAGGTGGGGAGCGCGGGAAGTGGAGGCGCACGCGGACTGGGAGAGGGACAGCTGCGTCGCTCAGGGGAGGGCCTTGGGCGTCTCTGCGACCCGTGGGGCAGGGAGCACGGGAAGTGGGGCGCTCGGGGTCGTTAGAGGGGCGGTCGGGTCGGTTTGGGGAAGGCCGTGGGGTCGACTGGAGGGGTGCGCGGGAACGGGTACAGGGGCTCCGGGTGGCGCCGGAGGGGGCCGTGAGGCAGGCCGGAGGGTCCCCCGGGGGCGCGGATGTGCGGCGCCCCAGAGTCCCCGGGCTCGGCGGAAGCGGTGGTAACGCGCCCGCAGCAAGTTTCACTTTGTGGAGCAACCGTTTGTCCCGGGGCTGAAACCGCCGCCGCCGCCCCTTGGAGGAGCCCTTCTCTGCGCGGCCGCTCTATTCCGGGAGGAAGGCTGCGGCAGCCCGGCGGGCCCGTGAAGCCGGCCAGCGGTTTGGTCCCCCGGGAGCCGCGGGCAGCCTGGTGGGGGGCGGCCCAGCCCGGGGTTCGGCTCCGGGGGAGGCCCTGGCGCTCGCGTCGGCGCCCCGGATACCCGCCCGCCACACCTGCGGCAGCGCGGACCCGCGAGGTCGGCGATGCGCGGTGCCACTCCCGACCGGCCGGGAGAGCCCGGGGGGGGGCGGGGGCGTGTGGGACCGCGCCCTTCCCGGCCCGATCGCGAGGAGCGCCCCGGACGCAAGATGGCCGCGGGCCGGGAGGGCGCTCTCATCATGTCTCCATTTTAAAGACCTGCGGTCGTCGCTCCCCGGCCTGTGCCGGTGGAGAGAATTTGGCAGTCTGGTTCCTCTCCTGAGGGTAGATGTAAGGTGTGAGCCTGTCCACACTGGACAGAGGGAATCAAGAAAACCTAAACAAGCCTGGAGTGGCGGGCAGCCACCGAGGAGTTGCTGTGCCGTCTCGGGGTGGCGCTGCCCGTAGTCGGTCACTCCGTTGTCCTGGGCCTAAACCAGGCCTCAGCTCTGAGGGCGGCCTAGAGCGGCGGGACCTGCGGGGTGCGTCCCCGCGCACGTGGCCCGGCCACCACCGCGTCCCGATTCCGCGACGTTGCAAGAATAGAAAACACTGTTCTCCAATACTCTGATTAGAGGACGAATTAGTGTCCTTAGAGGAGTTGACTAACAAAAAGCTATTCTTTCCATGGGAAGTCGTCCCTGAAATTATCGGAGTTATTTTTATTATTATTGCAAATGGTTCTCCCGAGGAATTTAAAAAACAAAACAAACACAAAAAACTCAAAAGGCATGTACTTTTGGTGGCCAGGAGGATTTGTTGCTCAGTGGTTGAGAGAGCAAACTCCAGAGGGGTGTGGTCTCCAGACTAGCAGCATCAGCATCACTTGGGAACTCGTTAGAAATGCAAAGTCTCAGGTGCTGCCCCAGACCTGCGGACTCAACAACTAGGGACTGCGATCCCCAAATTAACAAGCCCTCCAGGTGATTGTGATGTAGGCTAAAGGTTGAGAACTAGGGCTTCCCCGTAAATTCCCTTCCGGGGATGCCACTAACTCCCTGTGTGAGTCTAGCGAACTATTTAACACCTTTGTGCTTTAGTTTTCTCATCTGTAAAATAGCGGAACAATGGCGGCAATTTCATACGGTTGTTAGGAAGGTTAAGTGGGCTAATTCATGGAAGATGCTTGGAACAGTACCTGGCAGTAGTAAGCATTCAAATACCTCCTGAGAAACCAGTGACTTGGGCGAAGTAACAAACCTTTTAAGATTCCCAGTTTGTTAAATGGAGTTGATAGTAGCACTCCCTTCATAGACTTGGCAAGGATTCAATGAGACCATGCATGCAAAGCGTCTCGCAAGGTATTCGGCTCATGGTAATGCTTAGCCTGCCATGGCATGGACCGCTTCTTGATGAGCCTTGGTCATTTAGCCACCCGTGGCCTTCCCAAGCTGCAGACCAGGGCATTTCAGAAGCAGGCGTGGCAGGAGGACTTTTCGGAGATTTTGACCTCTTTTGGCCAGTCTATTCCCTCTGAAAGAATGAGTTTCTTTTTTATTAAAATGATGACCTAATAGTAACTGCAATAGGAAGGAAACTGTGAAATATATTTAAATAACCTGCAGTGATAACTGGTCAGACTGGACATACTACTCTTAATCTACATTATCTCCACCTGCTTTTCACTGCCTGGAGCCTCGCTGGTTATTTTTGGTCGCCAACTCTGCAGATAAGATATGCTTCTGATCTTTTTTTAAAATCTCAGTTCAAAGTGTACTGTCTTCTAAATTTGAGGTTTGAAATAGCCTAGGAGGTTCTGGAGCATTTGTGAACTTTACCCTCCAGGGGAGTGCTGAAGATGAAATGGCCAGTGGCATTGTGAAATAAAAAGATCACCGGCCTTAAAAGCAAACAGCAAAACAAAAACCTTCAAGTGGATTCCAACTCATAGCAACCCTACAGGACAGCGTAGAACTGCCCCATAGAGTTTCCAAGGCTGTAAGCCCTGGTGACGCAGTGGTTAAGCACTTGGCTGCTAACCGAAAAGTCAGTGGTTTGAACTCAGTAGCCGCTCCAAGGAAGAAAGATGTGGCAGTCTGCTTCCATGAAGATGTATAGCCTTGGAAACCCTATGGTGCAGTTCTCTCCTATAGGGCCACCGTGAGTCAGAATCGACTCAAGGGCAATGGGTTAGTTTTTCGATTTTTTTTAGAACCTAAGGAGTCTCTGGGTGGTGCAAACGGTAATGCACTCAGCTGCTAACCGAAAGGCCACCCAGAGAGGCCTCAGAAGAAAGGCCTGGTGATCTACTTCTGAAAAGTCAGCCATTGAAAACTCCATAGAGCACAGTTCTACTTTGACACACACGGGGTCCCCATATGTCTATTCCATGGCGACTGATAGAACCTAAACCCTGCCTCCAGCCTACCTCACCACCCCCGCACACAACATACACGGAAGACTGAACTCCAAGACAATCAATGAGAATTGCTTAGGACCGTGATTCTCAAACCTAGGTGTGCATTAGAATAGCTCATGGAGCCCCTCTGGAGGAATTATGGTGGAGCCCTGGTGGCACAGTGGTTAAGAGCTATGGCTGCTAACCTAAAGGTCAGCAGTTTAAATCCACCAGCTGCTCCTTGGAAACACTATGGGGCAATTCTACTCTATCCTGTAGGGTCACTATAAGTCGGAATTGACAGCAACGGGTTTGGTTTGGTGTTGGTTTTAAGTTGAAAGTGGGCCCTGGGAGTCGACTTCTTTAACAAGTCCCCCAGGTGACTCTGACGTACACCAAAATTTGAGAACCACTGACTTAGGATGTGGAAGGATCTTGACAAATTTTATTCACCTTGCCTCCCTCTTCACCCTTCTTTTGTTAGGTTATGCTGGCATTTGTAAGCCATGGTTCTGTTTAATGTATGATAATCAATGCAGTGAACGGCAGTGAGGAAATACGAGCCAGGAGTCTTAGCGCTCTGCCCTGCTCTCCTTTGTCTAGCTCATTGACCTTGAGTGACTTGCTCCTCATTTAGGGATTTTGGTTTTTCAGTGAGAGGAGGGAATCATACGCCTGCCTCCTGGGCCTGGGAAAGGCTGTTTGTCAACTGCCTGGAGTTCTTCAGGCAAGGTTAAACCAAAGTGAGGTGGGGCAGCCCCGGGGCAAGGACTGGAACTGTTGTACACAGAACAGTCTCATTCCCTGATATGTAGACTTTCTGTCAAATTGCCTCCAAGCCTATCGCATGTGTATCTCACGCTGGTGCCAGGTTAATCTCACCTGGTTGTTGGTAGGTGCTGTCAGTGATTTCCAACTCATAGCGACCCCATGTGACAGAGTAGAACTGCACCACAGGGTTGAATCAGCTCTATGGCAACTGGTTTCGTCTGAGCCCTGGTGGTGCTTTGGTTAACTGATTGGCTGCTAACCAAAAGATCGGCAGTTCAAATCCACCAGCCCCTCCTTGGAAACTCTATGGGGCAGTTCTACTCTGTCCTATAGGGTGGCTATGAGTCGGAATCAACTCAACGACGATGGGTTGACCTTTAGGAGAGTTGATTGCCAGGTCTTTTTCTCACCATCCTGAACTAGTAAAGGAAAAAAAGAAAAGTTCAAAATAGTATGACAGTCTCTAGCCTCAGTTGTTTCAAAGGAACAGTTAACAGGCAGTAGGGAAATACATAAAGAGGACTCTTTATACAAGGGTTTTGCTTCCTTTCTCTAGCATTTAATAACCTTGGCTAAAAATTCGGGCAGTGACTCTGGAGGACAGGGACAAGATGCAATCAGAGAAGCTATGCGGTGGCTCAGCTGTGTGGCGGTGCTTCATTAGGATGAGTGGCGGTTCATAGGTGTCCTTGGTACATCATTTGTAACTTTTTTTGAGGATATGAAATATTTCTTAATTAATATTTTAAACTTAACATTGGGGTAAGCTTTACATTGGCAGAGATGATAGCTAAAGAGAAATAAGCATTTCATGTAACCTTAGAAAGTTCCCTGAACTCAGTATGTAAATTCCTATTATCATTTCACATTCTGTTCTGGCCTCTGCAAGGATGACCTGTCCTTTCAGTGTGGCTGAGAGAGCACAGGACAA